TCATATTTGCATACAAACTTAGCCTAAATTAGACTTGCGTCTAAAACTTAAAATGTTTTACAGAATTGGAATAAAGAAGATTTTTGTTTTGGCAGTTTTTCAGTAATGCTCTTTTGAGTTCTTGGTTACTTAGAAAATGAGGTTTTAATAAATTGCGTAAGCTTCAAAGAGTCGTATTATGACTTAACAGTATTTAGTTATTGAATAACAACTTTGTTTATTCGCAGCTAACATTAATTTAATTACATACTGCCTTCTAAAGCTTAACTTCTGTGAATCGGATAAATGCTAACTTTGGTTTTAGTTAACGAAATGAGTGAATACGTTTTCAGCAAAATAGCTATTTTGCAAGTTATTTTATTTAAACTACCTGTTAAAGTCGTAACTTGAAAACTGAATATGAATAAAACTATAAAAAAGAAAAACAAAATTGCTAACAAAAGGAAAATAACTATTATTTAAACGAAGTTAAATATTCGAGGAAATAAAGTTTAAAAACTTTGAAGAGAATTTCGGAATGATTGAATTTAAAATGAATCCGAGTGGGAATTGAGGATTTTTCGCGATGGAGCGCGTAAACTCAAGTTGAAAGGGAAGGGTTACCTTCGTTGGCGATTTTTGTTTAAAGGACCGCATAATGCAGCACCAAACTTTATAATAGTTATTTATTTTAAAAAAAACTGTAGATTATTTTACGGATATGCAAATTAAAAACAGTACAGTATATACATAACGAACTTGACTCTATGAAACGTAGACGTTTGTCACATATAACTCAAACTTGACTCACCGCACAGGTCAGACCTACTTGAGTAAGTAACACCTGAGCAATCTTCAATCAAATAAGCAATACATAAATATTAATTAATATCGGCGAAAGTTCGCAACTGGTGTAATTTCGTTAATTAAAGTGGATAGTTTGCAGGTGCTCCTGAAGCGTATATAAAATACTTTAACTTGTTCGCTTTGAAATCTATGAAGTTAGACAGAATAAACTTTGTAGAGGCTAACTTCGCATGATTCATCATTTTATATCTGACTAAAACTTGACAAATCCAGTTAGGATTGCGGCGATTCAATACTTCTAATACAAAAGATTTCGCATTAGAATTGTTTCCGTTACAAATTGCAAGATGAGGATCAGTTATTACAAGATAAGTTTACGCATAGTTTTTATAAATACAGTAATCCCTCCTACAACACGGTTTTCTATTCCTATAACATTGATTGTAGGAGTATTCTCACATAACGCGCTAGTGTGACCCCATATAACGCGTTATGTACAAATGATTCACGTTTAACTTTTCTCGTTAAAGGGGATTTAAATAGAATATTAAGAAAAAAACTATGATATGAACAAAATATGTGCGTTCAAATCATTATAAATGTCACAGTACAGAAATAAAACGTGTGATATCCCCGCGTCATCGGAGATACCCGTGTTATACGTGGGACTGAAATCGGGTATCACGATAATGCATTAGAAGAGTACCGTGTTATAAGGGGGTTTATTGTACTCTAATCAAAATCATATCAATAAAATGCATAAGTAAACTCAGCGTAAAATCTAAATGCAATAAAAATGAAAATGTTCTCCGCTGCGTACAGTCGTCCCAGCTCACGTCCTCCAATAAGGCGTGACTTCAGCTTCGTTTACGTCTCTATTCGCTTAGGAATTTCATTTCAACCTTCGCATGGACGTAAATATTATTTTGTCACACTCTTAAACTTATTTATTCACTAGAAAAGCTCAATTTAAAGATATTTAAAATAAAAAACGCTTTAAAAAAATCATTGTTTTCAAATCATGTGTTTTTATTGAAGTTACGTATGCCAGATAAATATTTGAACAGTAACTTTTTATATAAGATTATTTAAGGTACATTAAAATAATTCTACCAATCTCAAAACATTTAATAAAAGGTTCCAATTATGAAAACAAGTTTCGGGAGTACATTTTAATAATAAATTTATTTTGATTCACATATTTGTTTTAATGTATTTGTATTGTACATATTTTAACATTATAAGCTCAAACTATTTCCTTGTCAGTCAGGCGTAAAAAGCTGCATCAATACTGATAACTTGATATAATAACATTTGATATTATATAGAGGGGTGAGAATATAAACAGTCGAGGAATCGCTTCGTTAGATTGTGATTAATCTGCAAGAAAGAAACACCATTTTGACCGCGAACTTAACCGGTCCAAGGACAGCCCACATTTCTTCTCGCAATTAGCGTCTTTTATTTTCTATCGTCACCACCCTGGTCATATGTTTATGAATGTACAGTTTGTCAAATGCTTTAATTAAACTTACCGTTAGCTATGCGCAGTTTAAATTATGAAATATTTGCAGTTACAAATACATCCTGTACATACATTTGTAGCGAGGTAAAAAATCAAGTCGGCAATAAGTGTATTCGAGGAGGCTGACGCGGACAAACATTATTGCGCGATTTGTTAGGTTTCGGGTAATTGGATTTACGACGGAGGCGGTCTAATTGATACTTATGTACGTAATAATGTTGTTTTTCTTCGCAAAAAACTAACCGTTTCTTTTACTCCTAATTCATTGATCTGGGAACGAATTGTTTGGACTAGAATTATTGCCCAACAGTTTATTTCGTTGTAGGTTAATTGTAAATGGTTTTGTGTTGTGCTCCGAGGTTACCTGCGTTTCACATATTCAGTAGTGGGCTGATTAATTTAAAAAAAAAAGCATTGTTAAGTGTTCATCTGATTCCAAATCCACTGATTAAAATCTTAGAAAGGAAGTGTATATTTTTATTAAGTATTTAATTTTTTGTGTAATTTATGTTTACCATAATTGTCATGTATTTTTGAAAAGATAGCTTGTAACATTTACTGTAGATATATAGATATGTGGTGAACTTTATTAAATAAATAGATACCATGTTTGGTTTTCTACCAACGTAATTTTGAGCTAAATAGATTCTTCGAAGCTTTCTATTTCACAACATTTCAATTCTTGAATGAACACAACATAAAGCTTTTACCAAATCCGTTTATTTGAAACAATATTTTTCACAACTTATACATATTTCATGTAAACCTTGAAACTGTAGGTAACAGATGCGAACAAATTTTCACTTCATTGGCTTAGATTTCCGTTTTATGTGCTAGTGCTGAGCTCAGCAGTATCGATAAAATATTTATCGATTGATATTGCCTCCACCTGCTGTTTGAAATGTTAGACGGAACTGCTTAAAGCAGAAATTGTTGAGTTTAGCAATGGTTTATTAAAATAATATTAATATTTAATTAATAACTAGAGTGAAGTGAGAATAAATTAAACCAATGATTCTTGAAACTAACTTTGTTTAAATAATCTATAAAATATGTAACAAACATTCAATTATTTATTGGGTTCGATAAAAATGAATAAATATATTGGCAGCACAATATAAATTACGTCAATCGAGGGCGCACATCTCTAAGCCCTTATCGTATCAGATTAGAAAAGGTCCGGGTCAGGTCTTCGCTTTATTTTGCACCGTTAATCAAAATCGCCGAAAATAAATCCATCGATAAATCTTTACGGACGAATGGACATCACTACTCTTTGTTTATATTTTATTTAGAAACTTGCAACGGTTTGTTTTAATATTAAATTGTATTGGTTTTGTGTTGAATGTATTTGTGTAACCGATTCTATCGTTGCTGAATAAAACAAATTAATTATAAATGTGCAACAATTAAGTAATTCCTCTGTATAACGTAATAATCTAGCCTCGCATTATAATTAGGAAAAACTGATATCTGTTTGTATGATTAATAATAATAATCCCTCAAGACATCATGGGTCTGTTAGTAATGAGCCCCCTCGGCAAATACATCCGGTACTGGGCAGTCGGAATCCCAATAGACCAATTCATTAATGCTTCATATTTTTCAATAGTTCTGAATTCCAGAGTACACAATTCAAAAACCAGTTATTCGTATAGGTAACAAAACGTACATTTATGAACGTCAAAAAATAAATATATATATGAAATGCTTCTAATTTTACATGTTCTGCCAGTTCTAAAATCAAGGGCGTAGAACGGAAGAGAAGAACTGGCAATAAACTCTCCGCCACTCTTTTGAATCGCCAAGTTTTTTGATTGACACAATGTTTGTATGGAGCTGCAACCATCACACCATGTTCCACATGACATTTTAAGTAATTAATAATAATAAAATAAATTAAAAACAAAGATTTGTCCTCTATCAGCAGGAGGCATGGTGAAATAGGAGCACGCACTTACATTCTCGTGGTAACAACACGCAAATACATAGTCCAAATAACTAAGATCACATCATACACGAATTCAAGTACGACCAGTCACCACAAGTACATAACAATATTAGTAGTTTTATCATAAAATTAAAGTAAGGCAGAAATAAATACTTAATACCTGATGCAGAAATAAATACGCCTGATGCCACTTTAAACCCATTTAAATAATGTATATTATATAAACGAAAGATGAATTTATCTATCTATATTAACATACCAAAAACTATATAAGAAACACTTAGAAAGAGCACTTCATCTCGACTGAAGAAGTCATCTATTTGTGACAATTCAAGTTTAAGACACAATAATTATTGTTATTCGATAAGAACTAGATTTCTTTCTTTCTTCTACTTCATGAAAAACCCACTGCACTAAATATTTTAAATTTGACGCTCTACGAGTATTATATTATTTATCTCTGGGCGAAAGGCGAAGTTGGTGGCGACTAGTTCAGTGTGTAATACAAAAGAACTTGTGTAACTCATGACATAGTGTCAATATGTACTGTGGTAGATATATTGTATGAAATATAAAAGCTTTTGTGAGATAATACTTAGTGATCCTTAAGAGCTTGAAACACTAATGATTCTGTCACTAAAACTATAACAAGTGGATCTGTTATACCCGGGATATTAGTACATAGAACTCGTAGAGGCGAAATCTTGAATACAATATACTGACACTTAAATACTTAAAATGTTGTTGAAGAGTGTGTGTTCACAAAACCTTCATAATATTGAACGTAAGGAAAAATAATAATAAATTGAATATTGATTACCGATACACTTTACGTAGGCTTTTACTTTCTGTACAACAAATATGTGAATCAATTTACGAACTACTGAAATTCAAAATAATTTATTCATTTAGATAATGTACACTTATGAACGTTAATAAAGAAATACATATTAAATGCTTCTAATTTTACATTAACTGCCAGTTCTCAAATCAACAGACGAGAAGAACTGGCAATAAACTCTCTCTGAAAGATGTTTAAATTACAAGAGGTAATGCAACATATTAAATATGATATGATAGATTATGTTCTACCTTAATCGTCTCTCGCGAGCATTACTACATTTCCTAAGACTGGGTTTAAGGACATACATCACCCAGGTATCATGTTTTAAAAGCACAAAATAACGTTTAATTTCCGTTCGCTATGTAAGAGCATTTATCATCGCGAAATGCTGACTCGACATTACTATACATAACTAATCTAACGACTCGGGTTCCTCGCATTTGTGATTTTTCAATATCTTTCAACAGTTCTATCCGTTTGAGGAATTTTTAATAAAACATATTTATTTATATATAAAACTAGTTAAATTTTCACGCCTCAGTAAACACAAGATAACGATATCTAAACAAGACTAAACCAAACAGATACTGGCGATGTTAGCGGACCGGCTTCAGCCTAACAGTTTGTTCTGCTGACTATCCGAGTTCTGATATTTAGGATGGGAAGGTGCTGACTGCGCGTTTTGGTTTTGGTGTAAATAACTTTTGAGAAAATAAATTAATACGATTATTACTTGGTTTATAGAATGATAAGTAGTTGATTATACATGATTTCGATAGCAACTAAGTATTGTCTATTGTGAATTATATGTTTGATAAATCTGATTGCTAAAGAAATGCAAAAATATTAACAAGTTGCCATTCTTGGTCAAACAGGTAGATAATTCTGTATCGATTCGAATAATCCAGAAAAAAATTGACAATTCATTGTAAATTATTGTTCATTAAATTAAAGTCAACTAATTAAGAGAGCGCGATACATAGATTGCGAAAAAATCTCCTTGAACTTGTAAACAACCATTTTATCACTTATTTTCTTTTATTTACGTACCTATATTTTTTTTATTTCAGCCCAAACAATAACAGAACATTCGGTGGTAAAACACGTGCTACCTCTCACCGTGACGCGGACGGAGCTGGACGGCGAGCTAGTCTGCAACGTGTCATCTGCCGCCCTCGACAATCCCATCATAAGGACACTCAAATTGGATGTCAGAGGTAAGATAACGTATAAGCTCTCTGCATTCTAAATCTTACATTGACAACAGTGGCTTCCTTAAGCTGGCTTTAGAATAGAAGAGGCCTTTTGTCCAATTCTAATTGAATGGGATGGGTTTTTTGGGTTTTATCTGAACCAAAAAGATTCATCACCAAAATGTCACGTGTGCGGTGCAGAAAAAGATACCGCTAAACACAGCTTGTAAGAGTCCGAGATTTTCACATTTTGAAGGTAGCCGGAAGTATAAACGCCGGGGCCGTGGTAGAATGCAAAAGCTATCTCAGGAGTTTCCCAATGTTTTAATGGATATTGCTCACCTGGCTCTCGGTGTAGAACAGAGAATGCCTGGTGTGAGTGGAATACCACATATCTTCTCAGCCAACTGAACACAAGTAGCATTTCCGCCCCGCTTATAAAAAATATAATTTTGCCCAGAAAATTTGTAAATATGAGTTCACCGTTAATTGTGATTCATTAAAGTACCTCATGTTAAAGCTTGTAGGATATATTAATTCACAGAATTCACACAGCTGTTACTATAATAACCATCGTTCCTAAATTATATTTTAAACCGGGACCTTTAAACGACATTCGGAAGATTTTATAAGAAAATATGAAATTTTTCAGAATTCTTAAGTAAAATAAAATGACACAAATCTCCCCACATTCACCCCAAGAAACGATTTCCATACAATTATGATAATCCGACAAAAAATAAGGATGAAGTTAATTCCAAGTTATTGCTCTTAAATCATATTAAAATTTGAGATCACGGTGAGTAGGGCTGCCTCTAGCACTTAAATCTCCTATTACCTAAGATTCCTTTGCTTAGTGATTTAGTCAAATTAGGTAAAAGTAGTGTAAAAGCGACACCTTTTGAAATCATGTAACTCGTTCGATACGAACATCGGGCTAAATAAGCGTCTAAGTGCGGAAATTGAGTCTACACTACTACTACTCTACTTCGTTTACAGTTCGTTTAGTTAGTTTTCACATATTATATCAAATTTATTTTATTTAAATAATATAGTACCAGCAACCCTTATTCAGCACGATAAAATAAAACTTTAATTTATAGGATTATTTATAGACCGGCTAGTTTAAAAACTCTACAGTTATCACTTTATTCTACATTGTTTACTTCGATTTGTACATATCATTGCATTTATGTATTCTTCCTTCTTTTAAACCGACAAAACAAGAACTACGACCCAAACCGAAACTGCCACACAGCTGTGTAACGAATGAATTAAGTCATCAAAGCTATGACATGTGAGTTAATTCCGTATATTAAACATATTACAAAATAACACGTTCAAAGAATTTTAGGACGGCGGAAACCCGTTAAATTAAACCTTATATTAAAAGTTAAAACACGTTTACGTCAAAGTGACTCACCGTCAACAAGTCGAGTCTTTCCGAGTTTAATTTTGAAGAAATAAATTTTCATTAGGAAAGCGCGATATCGCGAAATTAACGAGCATAATTATCCCGGGCGCTTCGGGATAAGTGAAGCTTTCTTTACGTGAATATTTTTTATTTTGATGATAATTTTATAGAATTTAAGGATTATCTAATGTAAATGTAGGTCAACTATGAAAATTGTATGTTAAACTTAATTCCAAAATAATTTATAATAAATCCAAGATGTATAGTTTTATTTCTTTTACTTTTAGGCTATGTTCACATGTAACGCGCATTAACGCGCGTCATTGCGCGATCAAATTTGGAGAGAGTTCAGATGATGAGCGCTAATGCGCGTTGCGAGAGTACTCGTCAGTCTAGTTCGGTAGAACGTAGAAAATGGACGTGGAAGAGTCTTTTATTTTGTGGTTATATTATAAAGAAAAATATAGAAAAAGAAAACGTACACATTGGGTTCATTCAATTTTGAAAAATAGACCCAGTTTGTTATAAATATAATTACGAAAATTAACAAAATTACATGCGATCGCGATGAAAGCGCGCGCTCAACTGAACAGCAAACGGACATTACATTAATATCAAAGCGCGCGTCAACGCGCGATCACCTGCGTCTAGAGACTTTTTCTCTGAGCTCCGCGATAACGCTCGCTAACGCGCGCTCATGTGAACAGTTGTATGAAAATACCACAATGTCTAGTCGCGCGATTTGAAAACGCGCGTCAAATTTTTGCCATCTGAACATAGCCTTAATCAACCATATATAACATATATTAGCATTTGTATGTTGCTGTTCAAAAAAGTACAAATAAAATTGTTAAATTGTTTAGCTATCAAATATTCTACTACAAATCAGTTTTTAAAATTTTATGAAAGGGTAAGGATTTTTTGTTAATCATTTTACCTGTGAAAGCTGGTTTGTAATCCTCTTAAAAGCTCGGGAATTAAGTTTTCAGTCTTTTTCAAAGCTTCCCGGTTTCTAGGTGATAAAATCTTGGCTTAAACCAGATTTAAGCAGAGAGAAAATATGTTCAATTACACTGATATACCGCATAAGCCAAAACTTCAACTTTTGATTTTATATAGGTAAGTGATAAAGAAGTTTTAAACGATTAAACAAAACAGTATTTTTAAATATATTGCATAGTATTCACTTCTTTCATTTAAACTTATGTTATATGTAGAAGTATCACGAAAGATAGGAAAAGCAGTTCTTATATAACATATTAGTGGTAGTAGGAAGCGATTGGAGAAAGAACTCCATGACAGAGCCATAGACAGAGTCAGCTGGAGGAGGCCTTCACCCGTGAAGGGGTTGCGACGGTACTGAAGGTAGCTAGGATATGTAGGATAACAAGATAAAAATAATGTATAAAATGTAAAAAATCTAAGCTCTATATTTTTTTTGAAATGATTGGAAAATAAACGGGCTTTTATTATTATATAATACTAGCAGACCGGCCAAGCGTTGCTGTGGCTAAGGTTTTTGTTATATTACATAGTAGCAAACTATTCAAGGGAAACGTTTGGAGAACACCAGTCATGGGGACCACCATGCTTTTTTGGTGGTTATGCCATTAAATTGTAGCTTATGTGAAACGTTGGTACTTTCAACACAGCGCCATCTGTTGGAATTGTGACTATCAAATAATAAACAAATATTTTGCAAAAAAATAATATTGCGGGTATAAATTGAGATGTAAGCTCCTATCTTTTAAGTTAGATCTAACTACACACGGTGTGTAAATTTTATTGAAATCGGTTAAGTAGTTTAGGAGTCCATAGCGGACAAACAACGTGACACGTAATTTATATATATTAAGAAAGATATTATGCAGTTGTTGTTATCATAATGTTTACCTTTACCAAGCAAGTTTTTAGTGGTTCGCAAGCTTAGTTAGGTAACCAGCTTAGACTTAGGCAACAAGCTTAGGCTTAGACATTACCCACTGAGAAGCGGCTGTTTTTATTACAGAAGCCAAGCAAATAAGACACTACCTATAAAAGATTAATTACCAAATTGTGGTAAAAATGTACCCTGTATATTATTTACGTGTGAGAAATCTTCATTATCTCGACGTTAACACTCAGTAATTCATTTATCACTTGAGAGTGTGGTGTCCGACGTCACCGCATTCTATCGACCTCTCAATATTGCTGGCTGGTAAAATTTCCGACCCCTATCACGCTAGGGACATACTGGTATCGATAGACCTAAAAAACGCCATTAAACAAACCTGCTTATTAATGTGGCACAATTGATAAGGAATAAACTTTATTAGTTTTAAATTAACATTGAAATTAAAAAAAATACTTAGAAAAGCCATTTCCAAAACAACAACTACAGAACTATTCGTAGAAAATATTATACTTTATATCTGGTGCAAAAAATATCATTCTAAATATGAATAAAACTTTACACATTCCCATTGTAGAATATAATTTTTCTTTCTGCTATAATCCCGTCGCTAAGTATGTTAGATGACGTCACATTACTCACTGTAAGCCGACTTGACTAAGTATTACTACTGTTAAATAAAAGAACTTTTATATTTATGAGAAACAATTCATGACAATTTGCGCTTTTGATTCGGTTTCAGTCTCGAACTAAGTAACATGTGTATAGCGTTAACTAACACATATGAGACATTAATTGTATTGGCCTAGTGGCTTCGGCGTGCGACTCTCAGCCTCAGGTCGTAGGCTCGAGCCCCGGCTGTGCACCAATGGACTTACTGCCTTAATACCCATTTTACATTCGCTTGAACCGTGAAGGAAAATATTGCGAGAAAAGCGGCTTGCCTTAGACCCTTAGAAAGTCGACGGCGTGTCTCAAGAGGCTGATCAACTACTTGCACATTAGATTGATAAATAATCATGAAACAGATACAAAAATCGGAGACCCAGAATGGTTGTCGCGCCACTGATTTTTTTTAACAAATGAAACAGATACAAATGTATACTCATAAAATCAAATTGTTAATATTTTTTTATTTTTGTTCACTTGTGGACACATACATTCAGTTAATATTTATTCCTGAAACTTTTAGTCTGAATTAATACAAAAAGAATTAATTGGCAAAATGGAGCCGCTCATATTCAGTTTTTGTTTATAGTATTTTTTACGTTAAATTAAGAACTTTTTTCATTACATTTTTGCTCTTATTCAGTATGTAAGGTTTATTTTGAAGCTAATTAGGATATCCATGGAATTAAATTTTGTTTGGGTTAAATTCCCCGCTCATTATAAAGCTACTTTGTTTTTTTATCCTCATTAAAGTATAAATTTTTTTTTTAAAACCTTATCATTTTCATACAAAACAAGTGTTCTTAAAAATAAAAATTTCAATTTTATTTTTAAATGAAATGCTATTAATTTGCCGCCCTATTTCCTTTCTTAGTCAAAACATTCAAAGCCTTTAAAATTTCCTAATATTTATTTGTCTTTGTAAATAACTATCAAATTTTTTATGTCATGAAGCTAGACATTTATTTTATTGGTTGTCGATTAAAAAGATTTATTTTATCGACAATCATAGGCGTGAAAAGCCATCCCTAGTGGCACTATCTTGCCACTTATTAGCTAGAGTCTCGCAATTTATCGGGCGGGGCACGGAAAATTGCTCGGAGTACAGCACTCAAGTGATAGCTTAATGTCTTGTTATGTAAAATATGGCGTGTTGGCAACAGAGACGAATCTTGCACCTAAATCTAAAAGTGGCCTTTATCTAAGCCAGCTATATTACAACCGACGGTGACTATGGACCAGTTTAGATAGAGTTGTATGTTAGTTTGGTGGTTCTTAGTTACATTTTTTCTTAATTATTTAGTTTTCGACTGTGGCCACTATTCCGTTACACATATTTTATTCTATAGGTAACGGGCAGTAGTAGGCTCACTTTTTGTTAGAGGCTCGCTAGTGGGTTTCCGACCTATTAAGAATTTGTACGCTCGACCAACAGCTGCAACTAATAAAACTCAGCGTGGATTGTGTAAAAAAATATACAAAAAATTGAGTAAAGCTGTTTGGGCGAACTAGTCTCAGTATCAAGTTTCGAGGGACAATTAATCAAAGTTGCACACGTCTTGGTGTTTGTTTTGCATAACTACTCCGAAACTGCCAACACTTCACTTTGCTTCTAAGCTCCTCTATCAATATTGGACGCATCCTGAAGCATTTCCCTCGCCAGACTTTAACGAAATAACTGTGATATACACCTGATTTTCACCTGAAATTCAATACTCGTTGAAATCTATTTATAATTGTATCAAGACATTGGAAGTCTTCATCATTGCTGCATTGCTTGTATAAAAAGTAATAAAAGCGAAAAAAAAGCTCCTTAATCTATAGTATGCATTGCGATAAAATGCATTTTCGTCACTTACAAAAATATTGAAAATAAAAACCGAATAAAAATATCCGCCGGAAATAGCCCCAGGACAACCATTTCAAAGTATGAAAAAGTGCCTGAACTAAGCTATGCCCAAAACTAGAAACCAGTTAGGTTGAAATGTAGCCATTGCCAAAAAAACAAAAAAGTTCTCCAAAACGTTATCTCCACCTATTTTTAAATGCAAAAGAGGTTTTGTTTTACGTGCGCAATGCATCAATTTTAATTAAATTAGGTATAGTGAGGGGCTAGGAAAAATATGATCTAACTTTTATCCTAAATTGTAAGCTAAGCTGAGAGCTAGTGAATATACAGTAGTAAATTTTGTAAGCTTAATCGGCACAAATATAGAGAAATGAATGCGGATAATAATAGTTATCTGGCTCAATATAAGTTAATAGGAAATTATTTTCTCATCGCTCCAACTAATAACTTATAAAAGTAACTTGTGAAGTAATTACTTATCGGCACCTAGAGGATTTTCCTCGTTTCTGTCGATTTGTCGATTTATTTCACATCAAAGAATCCATATTTCTATGTTAAGTGACCACGGAAATTCGCCTGTAATTCACTGATATAATAATATTTTATGCCAAGGTTTCGGGAGAGGATATTTTAATCAAATTAGCTCATTCATCATTCAGATATTAATGATATTACTATTAAATTAGACAAAAAAAAACATATGTTTGGTAAATTTATTGGTTGTATTTATAATGCACGCATAAAACTACAACCTGTTTAGTACACCTATTATGTGTAGATTGTACATATTATATAAGCTTTGTTTTTTCTGACTTGCAGTGATTGCAGTTTCTTACAGTTATCTTATAAAATAAAATATATAAAATAATGGTGAAGCTTTTTGCCAGTCCGTTCTTCGCTCTCGAATCGAGAACTTTCATTAATTGTAAATTTATTTATTTTTATTGACGTTCTAAGGTGTACATTAAGTGAGAGGAATAAATAATTTTCACATTGACTGCATTAAGCGGAGTTACATACATAGTAAAAAAAACTGTCAGTATGTACTTTAGTTTGTGTTTGATACATATTATCTTCACATAAACGATAAAATATACAAGACAGAAGTTGGTAGTATTTATTTCATATTTTATTTTTAAAATCGATACCTACTACAAAATATGTTTAGCACAAATAATCCTAGTTTTCATTATCAATTAAATACTTAAACTAGGGCGTTCCGTTTTGATTGAAATCAGACAATAAAACAATCACAACTCCAGTCCTCCGCCGTCGACATTTCAATAGCTTTTCAAAACTTGATTCCAAAAACTATTGGGTTCGATCTCCTGGGTGCAATCTACTAACTTATTCACATTCGGTGAGTTTGCTAATAAAACATTTGGGACACGCGAGGGACCGATGTTAAACAGGTGATGATTTTTATTCATTGTTCGAGTCCGAATGTCCAAACATTATTATAATTTTTTTAATTTTATTAGAAATCATAATTTTTTTGACAACAGTATACAGATTTAATTATGTAATAACTATAGAGAAATGTAATAACTATAGAAAAAACTCATTTAATTATTACTTTTTCAGTACCACCAAACAAGATAGCGATATCGGGAGTAGGCGAACATGTGACGCAAGGAACGCTGTTGACGCTCATGTGCAGTGTTTCAGGCGCTCGTCCTGCTGCCACCATCGAGTGGTTCAACGGCACTGAACTACTGACACCAGCAAGTCAAAATATACAGGTGAAGATATATCTACTTGTTCTAGATTAGCTCCATAGTCCAGTGTTATAATCTTTCTTCATAGCCTATAAAATTAGCGAATCTTCACACTCCGTATATAATAAATTAACTGTGATTGATTTATCTTAGTAACACCAATCAATACAATAAATAAATATTGTTTGTTTTTGTGCATTTTTTAAGTGGCATAGATTAAATTTTTTAAATTAACATACAGGCAAAATCATTCTGGTTTCAAATTGTGCTACGGCGTAGAACCCCTTATAAATTTTATGGTCGGAAAGTTCATTATCACTTACTCCTCAAACTTCGACTTTTTTATAAGCTTAAATACCATTTAGAGTATATATTTGAAAGAAAATGATTAGCTACGTCGAACAAGTAACTGTGCAACATATTTGGCCCTTTCTACGAATAAAACTCCCCTTCATAAACCTAACTACGTTTCACAGTACACTTGATTCGCTCTTCCCTTCGAGTTTGTCACATTGATATTCAAAAAGGGACAATTAGGAAGTTTTAAATGGATTAATAGCACTTCACAATATAACTTGAGGTAAAATAAATGTAATTAATTCTGTTACGGTAGTGATGGGGGAGGCCTAACAAATATTTGAGACGGACATTAATTTAAATCAATTTGTTTGATTGAAAGCTTTTTAAAATATCCTCGAATTGTTCAATTGTTCGTCGTGATAAAAGTACTGGTAAGTAAAATATTGAAGTAGAAATTAGGGTTGGATTATAATTTTATAAGTATTTGTTTCGAGTCTGATATTTTTCGGTATCATCTGCTGTCTCATAATATCTCCTTTATTTATTATCTGTATATTAAGTCCTTATATCTTTAAAATAAAGCTGTACACAAAAAACAAAAAACACTTAAAACCTCGAGTTATGTATATAATGTAAAAAATGTGCTTTTATATCTGGTGTAAATTAAAAATAAAAACCATTTAAACCTTTTTGCTTATAATATTACTCCAACAGTACTACCAGAGTTGATAAGGTAGCTCCAACGTTGTTTTCGAGGACTCACCTTCGTCGAAGGTTTTGTGGCTACAAAAGGTAAAACTTATTTTCCCCGTGGATGTCCAAAAAGAAATTAAGCCAGTCATCGCTCAACGTCAAGTGCGTTTAGCAAAAAATACTTTAAATCTTTCCCTTCACATCTATTCGGAGTTCTTTGTGAATTTTATACGACCTAATTATTTTTTTGCTCGTGGATCGCTAACAATTACATATATAGGGAAGATAGAGCAGAGTAGCAGATTCTTTCAGACGTATGATTTAGTTTCAAATCAAGTCAACTAAACCAAGTAACTTCAGTCAATAATAGTTATATTAATTTGGAAGACTAGTAAGAGAAAGAGTTTCTTAAGTAGAGTTATTCTGTATCTGTTTTATAGATCATTTTGCTTTAAGCTCTGCCTTCTTTGTACACCAAAAATTGTTTATTTTGTCGCTAATTGAATCCAGCACACATACACAATTATACTAAAATTAAATCACGGTAGTAACTGATATGCAATTTACATGTTTTTATATATACTTCTTTATTATGTAATAATATATTTTTAACGATTGAAATAAGAACCTGTAATTTTAAAGTTTGCTAAATTTTAAAGCAAGAGGCGCTGAAAAGTAAGAAAGTGTAAGGTTTTCGTTTGTGAACTTTATTGAATTTGACTTATTGGAGCTAGGGGCTGCTGACGACTATAAATGGAATAGGGAACACTATAGAGCTCCCTATTCTATATATTAAATAGTAATGGTAGTTTCTCATGTAATGTAGTAGAACAGTATCGAGATTTAAATTGTGTGTACTAAGTGCTATCTATATAGGACTATTTATTTTATATCTATCGATTCTTTTAATAAAAAATTTCAGAACTGTCAAATAAATTACTTGATAAGATTTGTTTTATAAGATAACTTCTTTCACTAAGTTGGTCAAACGGGTTAACCATTAAGATAAAATATTGATGACAATTTTATTTGTATGAATTTAATTTTTCAAGCAGTCGTTTTAATAAACCTACTCCATGCCGCCTCTGTCCACAGCAGGTGAGGTCCGACCGCGCAAACTACTTCCCGGCCAGCACTTGAAATTACTAGAAACTTCAAGAAATATCTTTATATAGCCTGTAAAATCTACTACATTCTACTTTATTGAACTAAGAAATGGACGCTTAAAATCTTTTCATTAGTATTTACATTGCGCAAACGTGAAAGTGAATTTTAAATGCGCGGATGATTGGAATATCGTGGAGAAGTTATTTATTTCCAATATTTTCTAATTTAACAAGAATTTTCTAAAAAATCTACTGTGTTTTATCGAGAATACTATGTGCATGTGTGATGTGATTAGTGAAAACCACTGAAACGTTGAGTTATGTAAGTTATGGTATAAAGTCCTAAACTACTATTATAAGTAAAATAGTTATAAAATACTAAATCTATAAAAAATACTGAATCTCCTTAAAAATAATTAAAAAGCGTAATAAAGCAAATTCCTGCTATCACGGACATTACTTACGAGATAAGCTTAATGGGATAATTAATTATTAATGAAAATTCCAAATTATGAATTTCTTTTAAGTAACATTATAAATTATGAGATTTCTGCATTTGATGTTTGAGGTAGATAGATAAGACTGTACTTTGACTATATTTGCTATTTTTAAAGACTGCTTTTTTTATTTAGTCTATAAATTATATGAAGGAGAATTTGAGACATTAAAGAAAGTTGTTTTTTCCTAGATTCAAAGTGTGAACAATTTAAAAAGTTTTATCGTATACAATTGAATTTCCAACTGAAATCTTAAGTTATTTTTCAAGTAAAGCAACAGTTAAACCAGTGCTCATCAAAAAATTTCTAAAGTCGCAAGAAGTTTGAGCGTAAAGTTTGCATTCCTTTGAAAATGTTGCGTGCGTCAAAGAGGGAAGCCTCTTTGTGCTACAACTTTGAATTAACCCAGTGCTGTGCGGTGCTTTATCGATACTTGTTCTAACTCTTTGTTTTGCTACGTATCAAGTTACACTACGTTATAATTAAAACTTTAATATTATCAAAACTAGTTTGTTTAATGATCTCCATCTAATATAAGTTCCTTCTGCAATACGTTTGACCGCTATCTTTCTCGGTCCTTCGCTTCTTTTACAACAGAGTACAGTTTTGAGGACGACGCCAATCACCATGAGCTTCTCTAGAGTCCCGTCGTCCCTACGCATTGTGTGACCAAAGTTCGAAATTTATCCCTTAATATAGGGAATAAATTTAACGAAATAAGCTGTTTTATTATACATTAACTCAATGTCCGAACCTGAGAAGTATGATCATAAATCTATCCAGAAATACTTGGTATATCTCAAAATCTACGTCTCGGGTTTTGATGAAACTTGCACTGTTGGGTATACCCGATATAAATCATACATCAAACACTATCCAACAATGTTACATACAAATAGCTCAACTGAGAAGACTTCTTGAAGTCGATTAATATAAGGTATGTTATAAATAATACTACCTGAGTATCGTCATAATGTACCTACACTAGCGCAGCGGGGCTAGGGGTAGACGTAGTAGGTACATAAACTTTTCTGTAATTATTTTAATTGACGACATTTCTCAAACTGTGAATCGTGTTTCATTCTTTCACATAATTTGGTCTTTTGTATTAAATTGTTGTCTGAATTATAGGACAAAGCGTGAAATAGGTTATTAGACTTCAAACGAACAATAATGCTTCATATTATTAAATGGTGTTACCCTTTTGACTTTAAGAAGTCCAAAGACTTTATACGTAAAAGAAGTTTGTACAGAATAATAATACAATATTACAATCAGACAATACAAATATTACACATCTAAGCACAAAACACATCCAACAACAACAAAAATTGTACTAGGAAGTGTAAGATGTTCATGGTTTCTTTTTTAATTTTGTAAAATGTATATTCATCGTTATTGTCATGTATTTTAGAATATATGATAAATAAATAAAAGAACTTCAAGCCATTAAAGTGTTCGGTGTAATACTCGGCACTCGAAAAACATTTTTTTAGTTTTAAATTCAACATTATATATTGTGCGTCTTAGTCTGTTGAATGTTTTTTTAGCTACGAGGTTATGGTTAAGATAAAAACTGACGAAATATCATTTTAAAAGAAAAATTATGTGTCTTGTCGCGTGTGTTTAATAAAACTACGTACAAGTGACTATTATTTTAAAAACTTAAAAGGTTACTTTAACGCCTGGATAAAGATAGAGCTTTTCCGTATTTGTGTTGTTAAAGTACATAACTTGCGCCGGTTTTTGTTAGATTTAAGAGTAAATTACCCATTTCCAGTTTTTCCAGTAATAACCGTCCAAGTGTATCTCATCTCAGTGAATAAACGCGAAATCACCAGTCATTTGCGAAACGATCCGATCTTTTTAGGAACTCTATTTTGTTGGTACTGAAGTATTATATGTAAGAGAGTTACATTTAGGTTTTGAAGAGTGGAAAATGTAGACATATAAGTGCCAAGAGACATTTGTCCTCATTTGTTTTTCATTTATCCATATTTTAATCAAGACATTTATTATCCATTGGTGTACAAAGGTTTGGAACGCTTTCCCTAAAGAGAAAGAGTGCTAACACTTTTTCTATTAATAATAATAAAGCCACTTTAACTGAATACTATAAAAATTACAAACCAGATGGGTTTGTTATTTCCATTATCTGGTGTTCAGTAGTATGGACCTCTTTTGGGTAAAGGACATCCTGAAATTTCCATTTGGATCTGTTCTTTACTTCCATCATCCATTTCTCCCCAGAAACCTTTGTGTCAGTCCATCGCTTTTGTGGTCTTCGCACGTTGTTTTTTTCTGAAGGTCCCCTCCAGTTCTTTGGCGGTCCATCTTTTGTCTGTACACCTTTCAACTCAACAACACTTTGTCTATTAGAAGATATAAATATTTTCCAAACAAATAAATCCTAATGTAATTTTAAATTAATAACTTTTCAAATATGGCCCAATTGAAA